GAAGTGACAGTTTTACCTCCATGTCAGCAACACACTAAGTATTTAAACTTGTCCAATATTAACCTCCCAGGGCTGCAGCTTACCATAACAGCAGAGGCTGCTGCAGAGGTCGATGCAGAACCTTCTACAACCCAGCAGGAGGTGCCAACTCCGCCTCCAGAGCCTCCTGAATAGTTAGAGCCTTTTCCAGTTCAACAAGAGGATTCAGCTCGAACTGCAGAACCTATTAAGGAGGAGAGACCCTCTTTAACCCAGTGGGAGGCTGCGGCCAAAAATTCACAGACCACTGAGTCTGTGGAACTTACTCCGACCCAGCACGAGCCCCTTTCTCAGCCTCCAGAGCTCCTTAATGAAGTCGTATGTCAATGTCTAGAGCCTCAAGAGGTAACAGTTTCTTCTGTAGGTCAAGATCAAGTTCAGCTAGCAACTCTGCACAATGTTGCTGTTAAACCTATGCATGTCTTGGTTACCACTGGAGTCCAGAGCTCACTGGTGAGGTTGAAACTTCAACCCCACTGGAGGCCCCAGCTTGGTCCACAGTATCTCTTGAAGAGTTTGGAACTTTGAACAACCAGGAAGAGGTTACAGTCCAGCAGCTGAGCCTCTCTGAAATGGATGGACATTCACCAAGCCATAAGGAGACCCACACTCAGCTGGACGAGCTTCCTAAGGAATCTTCTCCAAACAGAAAGAGAGCTCAGATCCACCTCCAGAGATCCCTGTGGCCGTTGAACCTACAGCAGTCTGGCAAGACTACCCACCGAAGCCAACACCATCCTCCATGTAGGATTCAATTCATAGTCTATTGAAGGACAAGATGCCATTTTCACCACTAGTTGTTCCTTTTATCTTCAGAGGTCATGATTCAATACTGCCTAGTATAATAGTTATACATGTGCATGTGGAGCTCTACGTGACTCCTCCAGAGCCTAGTGCCCATGTGGAACCTTGTCCAGTCCGGCAGGAGGGCCCTGCTAAGCCCTTGGTTCCTGCTGGGCAGCTTGAATTTCCTCTATCCCAATCCCATCCCGCTTCCCAAACTCCGGATTTCCCTTGAAAATGTTGAAATTGATCTAGCCGAGCGAGAGGCCACAGCTCAGACTCCAGATCATCCTAAGGAAGCAGGCCATTCTCCAGTCCAACAGCAGGCCCCTGCTCGGCCATCAGAGCCATCTATGGATGTTGAATCACATGTGAACCAGCAGGAGGCCCCAGGTCTGCCACCCGAGACCCCTAAAGAGGGGCCCGAGCCTTAGCCCGTCCCCCAGGAAGCAGCAGCTCTACCTTCGGAGCCACCTAAGAAGGTGGAAACTTCCCCACCTCAGCAGCTGACCACCACCTTAACCTGCAGAACTGCCTGAGAACGTAGACATATCCCTGTTCCACCAAGTGGCCCTTCCTCAGCCTCCAGGTCCCACCAAGGAGGCAGAACCTTCNCCCTGTTCCACCAAGTGGCCCTTCCTCAGCCTCCAGGTCCCACCAAGGAGGCAGAACCTTCTCCAGTTCTCCAGTTCTGCATGAGGTCCCAGCTCGGCCCGCAGAGTCCTCTGGGCTGGGTAGAACCTTCTCCAGTTGTGCCATAGATCTGAGCTCATACTTCAGATACCGTGTGCTTGTGTTATCATCCCCAACCAGCAGTTGGCCCCTCCTCAGCCTCCAGAGCCACCTAATGAAAGTGTCATTCAACCTTCACCACTTTATGAGATGACACTTTCCATACCGACTAAGTCTGTATGAAGCTCATAATGTACCGTTGCCTAGTATCACACATCAACCTTTGGACTTGGAGATGAACAGCTCTGCAGAACCACTGTGAAGGGTGAACATTCTACAGCCTTAAAGAAGATTACATCTCATCCTTCAAAGCCTCCTGAAAGATCATGTCTACTTCCTCTCCTGCCTCAGGCTTTGCATCCGAACCTGACTGAAATCACAGCTCTCTGCCTTTCCATCTGGCACACACCATAACTCCAGAACCATCTACCAAGGCTGAACACTCTCCAAGAATGCAGGCAACCCAAATTCAGCCTCCAGAGCCA